CAAATAAATAACGTTGTGGCACTCTCTCTTCTTCTCTCATTAACCTCTGCTTCAAGAGGTATTTTGAACGGCCCTATAGGCCAAAAAAGTGTGAAGCTAACATCAATGTTTTAAATGGACTTTTAAACAAAATGTTGTAGACTTAATATTTTAATGCAGTGTTAGTTATTTCCCTGCATCATGGCAGGGTACATTTATATTCTATATTGAGAACACGTGTTTTTATTTAGCTCTGAGGCCACACACACAAACAACAACAACAAACAAACACATAAAGTGACGCTCAGAGCACATTATAACTGCATCTATTAGCCTCACACTCAGCCAATCACATTGCTCACTGCATCCTTCCTGTTGTTGTTGTTTTTGTTGTTGTTGGTGTGTGCTTCATATGTGATGTTCTGTACAGTATTCATCTCTCACTGGGAGTCACGATGTTCCATTTACCTTCCCCACGATGCTCTGCTGGGGGACGGCCCTGTTTATGCAGAACCTGCATGTGTGCATGTAATGTTCCTTTAAAAAGCAGCGTGGGACACCATCAGCACATTTACACACGGATGGTACAAGAATGAGGTTGTGCAGATTCAGGTTGGGGAGGTGCAAGCAGCCACATATACATCTTAAATACCTCTCATTCCTACTGGCTCAGGTATTCAAAAAATCAGTCCAGACAGATCCTACAGCAAAGTTCAGACAAACGTTCACAAACTAAACTAAAATAAGGCTGGATGAGGCTGCATGAGCCGAGTCGTTATGTTGCGCCCCCACCCATTTACAGAGACTATAGCCCTTGTCAAAGCAGGCGGGGGTTTGAATCCAACCTTAACCCTTTGTTGAATCTCATCCTCCACTCTCTCCTCCCAACATGTAATGTCTCTTTTCAGGTGTCCTATCCAATAAAGGTGCAAAAATAGGCCTAAAAATATGTGTAAAATAATTTTGCAGATACTTATGGGGCACACGTAGCCTAGTGGTTTAGTGTGCTTACCCCATGTACAGAGGCTGGAGTCCTCCAAGCAGCGGCACTGGTTCAAATCTGACCTATCCTCCTTTCCTTTATGTCATTTCCCCCTCTCTCTCTCTCTCTCCACTGATTCTGACTCTATTCACTGTCCTATCTCTGAAATAAAGACATAAAATGACCTTAAACAAAGATGCTCCTTACACATGAAGAGGACAAAATCAGCAGAGAAAAGAGGTACCACTTTGTCCACACGGGGGACCAAAATCAATACTAAGGAGCTATAATCAAAATGCCCCTGCAAATTAGGAGGGAAATATTCCCCCCAGTCATGATAGGCTCTGTCCTGAACTGTCGCTCTGTGGCTCCATCTTTTGTCTCGCCGTCTCTCGACAGCACGTCTCTTCTCAACACAAGCAGAGAGCTGCAGAGTCCTCGGGGAGTTCAGTGGATACTTTTGATTCAGCGCGCTCTCCCCTCTGCAGCCTCACTTCACAGTCAGAGCGCTCTCACCATCAATATGAAAATAAGAGCATGCCTGCTGTTCACAAAACGGGAGGGTGACCTGTTGTTTGCTTTTATGTAAGGAGATAAGCTTCACACACACACACTCACACACACACACACACACACACACACACACACACACACATGCTCAAGAGCATGCAAACTTTCACTCACACACATATGCACCGGCTTCCTCACAGACATAAAACATCAATATCTGCTCAAAGGAAAAGTACAAAAATACGTTCTAGTAGCGAAAATATGAGTGGATACAGGACAAGGAAACCCTCACACACTTCATCACACAGGCACTGTGAGGTCAAATACACACATCCACTACACAGGGACGGACAGGCAAGCACACACAAGCTGTTTTCACAGATTCTGTTCGAGCCACAGGTGTGTTTTGAACACCTTGAATGTAATTCTGACACTGAACACCAGGTGGAACCTTGGCATGTGCTGAGCCGGACTTCAGGTATAAAACAGTCTGTACAGTTTTTAACAGCTCTTTTTATTGTTTGTTTGATTCTTAACTGGGATGAAGGTCTTTTACAGGTCCAATCAGTGAGATGTGTAGAGAGTGAAATGATACAGTGACCTTACTATATGATTAGACATTAAGGAAACATGTTATGTTGAAGTGCTGGCTTCTCTGACAACAATGCAGCAGCCAGTATGTCCTCCTTCTAACTTTAGATTCTGGTCCTGAATGCTCTGGATTTGTTTGGACCAGAGAAGGTAGGCGGTTTTAAGACACTCCCATATGGCCGTTTTGGACGCCCCTCGGTTTTCCAGATATGAGAGCAGTTATCAGGTCAAACCAAAAGGGGTCTCATTTATAACCGTTGCGTATGCACAAAACGTGGTCTGAAACGCCTTTCCCACGCAAAGTCTGTGATCTATAAAAACAAACCTGACGGTAAAATGTGCGCACCGGAAAGCAAACTGTGACCCATACATTTGCTTATGTACATTTTGGAGGCATGGGAAATTGGCGAAAAGTGGCGAATTGAAGCCTGGAGATACATATTGATGTCTCATCCACAATTTATTTCACTAAATATCTAAATTTACTGACGGATCCAAGTCATCATAATCATTCAAACTGATGGTTTTATTTAGGCTATAATCGCGCACGTAGTGAGCCGTTTCCAATAAGTCACTTTAATTATGACAATCTAAGCAAAAAAATAAAAAATAAAAGTCTGCCCCATACATATTGCATCTGCGCCGTCTCGTCTTCCTTATCCCGGACGGACCTCAGAGGACCGGACTGTACACTAATGTAATCACTGATCTAGAGTTAAACATTAGACTAATATTAGACTAACACAAAAACCATAGTGGACACTAAGTCGGGGCATCTCTGAAACGATCATCAGGCCTATATATCCTCATAATTAGTCACAGAGCAGACAGAGTTTCCCATGAAAAAAAGGGGCCAACAATCAAACGTTTTTGTTCGTTGATCAAACTTTTGATTACTAATATGATAGCGTGAGGCAGACTGCTGACTGAAGTGAGCACTCTGACAATATGAAGAAGTCAGTGTGGGTCCTGTAAACATGTAAACATTGCAGATATACTGCGTGTGCGTAATGATGAACGGTGGATGGTTTTGGCACATAGGACAGGGTGAATGCAGCAGCGACGTGGTGTCATTCTCTGATTGTTCTTCAGTTTGTGATCCTCCTGCGGCAGCAAACTACCGATATGTCCATTTTATCCTTCACTTCATTCACAAACTCCTCCGTTTCTGGGTCAGAAAGTTTCGTTTCTTTGTCTAAACTTCCAGGTTTTGCCGCGATCCAGCGCTGGAAACCAAGCAAGAGAACTGGTTCAGATAGAAGTGATTGTACCCGACCTAAAAAGCCTCTGCATGTTTCTAATAAGCTCCACGAGCAGAAAAGTGCTCAAACTAGGATCAATATTGGAGATGCTTTTGAAAAATGACATCTTAGCATTTCCCATGGACTAAAAGTTCTCAAATGAAAAAATAAATATGAAGTGTCAGCAACGTTGTCAAAATCTATCTTATCAATTTCACTCACAACCATGTCTTCTTCACCGTTTGTTGATTCTGTTTTAATCTCCTCTTCCTTCTCTTCCTGCAGCCTCTCCTCTCTCTCCTGATTACCTTTTTCTCCTCATCAGCTTCCACTTGTTCTGCAGCACCTCTCACTCCATCTCCTCACCGTTCATCATCACGCTCCGCTCTCATCCTGTCTTCCTCCTCTTTTGATTTTTTTTTTTAATCTTCACAATCATCCTGTTCTTTTAATCAGGACACTCTCTCATCCTCTGTACCACAATCATGTTTTTATATGTACATCCTTCACTGGAGCTTCCCGTCCTCCCTGCTGCTGCTCTTCTTCTGTTCAGTCTAGTTTTCTGCAGCTCATTTTTAACTGATTATTTGTATAGTCTAGACCACAGTGATGGGTAGCATTGTAGTCAAAAGACAGAACTAACCAAGAGCAGACATACCCGAGGAGCTACACCTTGGTCTCCGCTGTCTGCAGCACGGCGCTCTCTAGGAGCGTGTTAATGTTCAGCTCGGTGCTCTGTTCTTGTGTTTTCCTTCCTGCACATAGACTCCAGCTCACTACACTTGAGCAGGGAAAAATAATGTCGGTATTTCTGAGACTGTGAGCCCACAACTCAATGATCACATGCCTGTGTTTGTAACGTTCTTTCTCACAAGATGCTACTGTGCTAACGTTAGCGTAACCCCGCCCACTGAATTGATGTCAATAAAACTTAATCTGGTGTTGTTGTCAGTGGTTTCACATACAGTAACCAGTAACACAGGCTTTTAAATGTCAGTAATTCTTACGGCGTGGTTGAATCTGGAAAATGACCAAATATGTTCTTAGTTATCGCAAATATGGCGTCAGTAGACATTGCAGCACAGGCAGAGCCTTGCACCCCCCCCCCCCCCGAGATCTAAGGCGCCCCACCTAGGGGACCAGGACCTCATGATGGGACCCAATGCTTTACTCTATCACAGCATTCATCTTTTGCTCTGAAATCTGCTCCTACACACACACACACACACACACACACACACACACACACACACACACACACACACACACACACACACACACACACACACACAATCACGCACACACAGATTGTCCCATATAGAGTGACATATAGTGTCTGTGTTGCCTGAGCGGACATAATCAATGATGATTCTGTGTGTGATGGATGGACGTTTGGAGGAGTGCTGGATCATATGCAGCGCAGTAATCATGTCACACACACATGACGAATAGAGCCTGACTGCTGCTCATTATAAGGACACACACACACACACGCACAGACAGACACACACAGACATGCATCATCATCACATCAGTAAACAAACAGGTCAGATCCATAAAACTATTGAGTTCAACACACACACACACACACACACACACACACACACACACACACACACACACACACACACACACACACACACACACACACACACACACACTCACTCCCTCCCTCCCTCACACAGATGGGGTCTTACCCTTCGAGACTGGATCTCTTTGACGTATAAAGGCAATAAGAATTCAGACACGCCCTCCAATCTGACGCCCTCCTTTGTCACTCGCAGTTTCCCCATGCCATCCTGGAGAGACACAAGCGGAGACAGAGGGAGAGAAAGTTAATGGTTATTCAAAGAGATAATGACAAGTTGAGTCAAACAATCAAAATCAATTTGCAAACACGGCAACCTCATCTCCTCAGAGTCTGAGGATTCACTGTGCAATTAAGTTTGCTTGGCTTCCTGCTCATGTGATATATTTATAGTTATTTCAAAGTAAACTCTATCACCTTGAGAGTCTTCTTAATTTGACAATGATACAGAAACAGAGGCAGAGAGCAGCATTAGGAAACAACATCAAACATTTCACCTTTTAACACTTCACTTTTGATCATTCGCTCCAGTAACATTTCATGCAGCAAGTTTTCCCTTTCTCTGTTTTTAATTTAAGGATGTAACTTTTGATCTACTAGAAGTCCTCCTTTCAAAATAAAAGCAGATTTTTCCAAAAGAGAAAGTAAGGGGCCCTCGCTTCCGTGAACTTCAACCGGTGTTTCTTTAAAGGAAGAATGTGCGACTTTTTGATCCAATAGATGTCGCATTTGAGCAGCAGCACGAAACCAAAACAAAATACTGATTGGTGACACCTCCTCCATCCTGAATCCTCCCCTCTCCTCCAGAGACTTAGGAGTTATCAATTAGAACAGGCCATAATGAAGCACCATTAAGCACAAGCGGTGGAAAATAATATCCTTTGCTCGAGCTGCAATCACATATCCTGCATTATTGTGTTAGCAATAGTTTAGTTAGCTCGTAGCTTCACATTTCATAAATTTACACAAAATGAGCGTGATCTAAAAACTCAGTATATAATCAGTGAGTATGTTCTTCTTCTTCTTCTCTCTAGTCCTTGACTAAAACAGATTTTATACCCAAGGGAAGGAGCCGGCCATCCCGTCCATGTAAACACGGCGCTGACAACAACACAGCCAGCGGGACTCGAGCTTCTCACTCATTGTAGACAGTCATGACTCAGAGACAAAAAATGTTGCACATTCTTCCTTTAAAAGTCTTTTCCTTTTGAATTTTTAGGCCTCTATCTTCGAGATAGGAGAGTGAGACCCTAATTGGGGGAGAGAGAGAGTGGGGAACAACATGCGGGGAAAGGAGGGATGTACACACTAACCACTAGGCTACAGGCGCCACCAACCGGTGTCTCTAGCTTATGCACTTTTTAAAAAATTTTTATTAGGTGATGCAGAACAATACAAGACAAGTGAGGGGCATGACAAGACCAAAAGTATGTAGGGGACAGAGGAGACACGACGATACAATGCACAGCATAGACAAAGACAAAACAGGCAAGCAGGGAGTAATAATAACGTTTTGTATGTTGAGGGTGTTGAAGGGACCTGCTTGTGAATGTGTGTCTAATTCGAGTGTATGCTTGTATTTTATTTTATTTTATTATTATTTTTTTTTTATAAAAAAAAATTATACACTTTTACTACTATTGACAAGTAACACAACCACGCTTCAAACTCTCCCTTTAACATCTAAGTGCATATCAGCATCACACCGCTAAGGAAGAGCCAAAGGAGGGAGAGTTATAAGTCACAATAGAAGCACGTTGTACTTAAAAAAAACACCCAGAATATAATGTAGACTCTATAAAGACATTCAGTCTGTCAGGGTACAGGGTGAAGAAAGAGACCCCTGCTGAGGAGACCTACTGAGCTGTGAGATGATTGAAACAAAGATTGTCTTCAGAGATGGGGGGTATTTCTGCTCTCTGTGGGGAACCCCATCAAACAAAGGTCAACGCTCTCAAATCACAGATTTAAATCCCTCTTATTAGAATAATTAGAGGCTTTGACATATTGGGTTTTTTTGTGTGCTTTTTAAAAAAAATGTAACTGAAATATTAGAAAACGTTTTGATATCAATCAACTGTTCAGATTAAAGGGAACAGTTGTGACACATGTTACTCCTTCTCTGATATTTATGGGACCATTTAAAGCTTCCGCCTCTCGATATCGTGCAGTAACGTTGCTTCCCTTGCCGTGCAAAATAATAATAAATAAAATCGGATTCTGACATCGCTGCAGCGCTGCAGGTGTCAGTTTGTTCCCCACCAGTTTCACACCAGGCCTTATGTGACAAAGTTGTGTTCAGCAAACATTTAAGTCGTCAGCATTATGTGACAGCAGCGTTTTGGCGCTCTGTGATAAAAAAAAAAAAGGCTTTGTGTCGCCTTATGATCAGTTGTGCCACATTTTACAGATTCCACACGAGTGAATGCTCGAAGGACTGTTGGATCAGACTTACATGGTGAGATTAAATTCCTCTCAAACAGCCATGCAGGGTGTTAGGATAGTCGGAGCTTTTACAGAGCAAAAGGCAGCTACTGTACCGTGTCCAATCGGTGCTCAGGATCAGTGACAGTACAGAGAGTACAGAGAGTACAGCAGTGCTGCAGCTGCTCCCACCATGGGCTTGGTCAGAGATTGAAGAGGCTGCTGGGTATTGTAGTAACTTTTTTGATTTTGCCTTGTATTTTGAAATCATTATGTTGTATTTAAACATTTTAAAGCTCATTATATGTCTTTAAGGGTGACTACATCTTGCTAGCACACAAGTGGCGCACAATTTTGACGCAAGCAATTGACAAAGTCCATGCAGGCCGCGTTCCTGTCGCCGTTCGCTCCCACTCTAGGCAATGATTGTGTTTCCACAGCACCTGCTACGGTTTGTGTCCGGAGCGTGCAAACAGCGCCACTACGCTCTGCTCTGATTAAAATATGCACTGAGTCTATTTTTAACGGAGCACGCTGCAAACATGTGTCAAGCTGAACAGAATAGATCAACCTGGGGGGCGCTGGTGGCGCTGTGGGTAGTGCGCACGTCCCATGTATGGAGGCTATGGTCCTTCAAGCGGGTGGCCCAGGTTCAAATCCTTTCCCGCATGTCATTCCCTACTCTCTCTCTCTCTCATGATTTCCGACTCTATCCACTGTCCTGTCTCTCCAATAAAGGCCCAAAAAGCCCAAAAATAAATCTTAAAAAAAAAAAAAAAAAGAAGTCAGACAAGGACATGTGGAAAGCATCAAATCAATTTCAAACTAACACTCAATTAACAGACTCACGATCGTATTTTCCATCAACTTAACGGCAGGCACCAAACGTAAAACAAATCATTCTCAGGAAGACAAAGCAACATGTTTACAGATTTTTCTCTTTATTCCGGGCAGGGTGCGCAGTTGGACGGAGCAATACCGTGGCGCTGACGGAGCCCAGCACACACAGACTATTTAGAAAGTGCGGGTTTGTGAGGCGCAGGCCACAGAGAGGTTGGAATCCGTCTGTTTTGGACGTCACATGAATAGAACCACGTTGGATGTTCTCTTCTTAAACTCAGCCCCGACGCTGAACACACATGCTATTGTATGAAACATGTTCCGGTTTGGATAGAAGTTATATCTGCTGAAGTATTCCCACAGCTTTAGGAATAAATGTGTGCCTTTTCAAATCAATAGAGATGCTTTGTACATTTACTCACAGGGCACGAAAGCGTAACTTCATTCATTCATTCTTAAATCTCCAGACACACTCTCTGTGTGCTAAACATCAAATAAAGGCAGGCTGTAAACATATATTTACTGTTTAAGCTGCTGAACTGGAGGTCTTTTTTTCTCTAATGTGTGCGTTATGGTCACAGTCTGTATTCTTATATCAGTGGGCTCGATTGTTAGTTGCACTCATAGTTTTGATTGAGGATCGTAATAAATCTATAAAGTGTGTGAGTGTTTTTGTTTGACTGTGTGTTAGAGACAGTGTGTGTCAGTGAACGCTCATCATGGAGAGCTTTGGTAGAGCTTGAGCGGGAGTTTTTTGGCCTCAGGGCTCATGCACTTTTCTTCCTGAGGTGAAGCAGGTTTTGAACGTGTCCGCGTCTTCTGGCATCACTCGACGGGCAACATAACAAAAGGAATCTAAAGATGTGAGGAGATGGGAAAACAAAAACTCACTGTCCTTTAAGCAGTGAACCCCTCAATGTACAGATATTTATCAGAGGAGGAGGAGCTATGCTGTGCATCTGTGTATGTAACAACCTGAGTGGAAGTGTGCCATGAACCCTCCTCTCTATGTCCATCTTGCTGTCTTTCTAATTCATCCTCCAAATAGCAGTCAGTCCTGCACCATACACCTTTGACTGCCCCGCTTTTACTGAAGTAAACCAGATTTTTTCTGAAGTTAAAATTAACGAGATTGCAATACTAATTATGTTAGCCCTTTAAAGGCAATTGCTATGATGTGTTAGCACGAAGCTAAGAACTACATGTAAGTGCTACATTTTTATATAACATCATGTAAGAATCGCATGTTTATAGGGGCGGCTGTGGATCAGTTGGTAGAGTCAGTCGCCGCTCAGCAGGAAGGTCGGGGTTCGATCCCCAGCTCCTGCAGCCACATGTCTGATGTGTCCTTGGGGCAAGACACTTAACCTCACGTTGCTCCCACTGCTTCATCAGCAGTGTATGAATGGGATTAATTAATACTGAAGGACTCTTCACACAGCAGCCTCTACCATCAGTGTGTGAATGTGTAGGTGTGACCTGCGGTGAAAAAGCACTTTGAGTCAGAAGACGAGAAAATATACAAGCTCAAGTTTGTTCACCGTATAGTTGGTAAAGTTGACAAATTCACTGTATTTCATTCATTCTCCTGAAAAATCCGTCCCAAACGGTTACACTTTAAATTGAGAGAAACTAATATTGAAGATATTGAAGTACTGGATTCTCACACATGATGAGCTTTGATAAGTTGTTTGACAAATCTCTAATCAAGTAAACCTCGTTATCTCAGATTAATGCGACTTTGACAGTCTTTTAAAACAACAGGACCAACCTTAACCTCGTTTCTTGCTGTGTGTGTGTGTAGTTCAGAAAACACACACAAACGTACAACAAGCGGAGCGTTGCATAAAGAAAAAATAAAGAGTCCGATCGATATCCTAAAGCAGACCGAGGGTTCCTGTGTTGTTCTTGGATCTATAGTCATTACGCTGAATATACAGTAATACC